TTTCGTCACAGTCTGTTGTTGTTAGCATTGCAATCAGTGATTAACAGGAAAAATGGTCGGTGATTAATCATATTTTCAGTTCCTTACCGTGTGAACTAGATTTCAGTGGTGCTGTCACAAAAATATGTTGTTGTCTTAATAACCTACCAGTTCAAAACGTCTCACCACACCTTCTATAGACTGAAATTAGATTGAGGTTAGACACACACACACAAATAGTATCTGTGTCTAATAGCAATGTATTATTTGTCTTTGAGATTTCACTCAATTAAGGTAGAGATGCAGGTTTGTGGGCACTTTGGAGTGAATTTTTTTTTTGCTTTTTATTATCCAAACAGTCTTGGCTAAATACTGTGAAAACATGCTCGAAAAAACGATTTTAAAATATAAATAACAGGTTCAAGCATTCTCTCTTTTGAATGCTTTGCAAGATTTAGCAAGGCTGTACATAAATAATCAAAAAGAAACATGGTAAAAAAGAAATGACGAGATCTTCATAATATGCACTGTATTTAACTTTTAACAAAACGATAATACTTTTAAATTTGGAACTGCTACAGCCATTTTAATTATGAGTATTATCGAACTTCTTACTGAGTGAATTGTTATGCAAATTAGCAATTATCTCAGCTTCTTTTTAGTGCACATCCCAGAACTTTAAAAAAAATAGCTCCTAGACGCTTTGACCTTTTGTTTTGAAATTTTCACAAATGAATGATTATGTTTATCTTCAAAACGCAGTCGGGACATTGTTTTTGGTTGAACAGTGTTACAACAATCGTACAGACAACTAGCCTGGGTGTTAATTTATGCATAAACTTGAAGTAGTGAAATTTGAGCTGCTGCCATGCAAAATTGACAACTGGTAGACAGTTTTCAAAAATATAGTTTTGTGGACAAAGGAGATCATCTTGGTTTCCTAATTAACTAATTAAAATACCTGTCAGGTAAACTGCATCTCTTCCTTAAAAGATCACATGTTGAAAACTTGATATCTTGAGAATTAAAACTGTTTTGCATTGGAACGCTTTCACCATACATGTCATCGCATTTGTTCACAAGAACCGGTTGTTTGCCTTCGAAGATGTAATAACGGCGTTGTTGGCAGCTGTTATTATTAAATATTTAAATAATAACACATATTTGTGAGGGCAATATCACGATGGTGGTTATGAGCATAATATAGATGATACCACAGTCGAAGGCGATGGCATCATCAATATTATGGGCATGAGCAATAGCCAGAGGGCAGAAAACAAATCGTGTTGTTGCCCGAATGACCATGTGTTTAGTTTATCATATCGAACAGACAAACACCTAACATACATCTCTCACACCCGTTCTCTCATAAACTAACAACACTTATATTGAAGTATGCAATGTTTTATTTCATATATTATAACACGTTTCACATTACTCAATAGCATACATGCATTGTTTGCTAACAAAACTGCGAAATACACTCAGTAAATGTTACTTTCAGTCAACAGTGTTTCAGCAGTGTGAATCACTCAATTTATCGAGTACAGAATTATTGAAATGAATATACTGCTTGTCCGTTGTGATATGTTAAGTATTATATACATACATCGTGTGTTTATCTCCACAGTGTGACTTAATACTAAATTATGTAAAACAGACTGCATACTTTTTTACTTACAAACTTTCAACAACCTTTAAAAAATAAGTATACATGTTTGTAATGTGCATATTGAGTTTCTTATGCAGCTTTGAAAATAAGATTTAATTGTCCTGAAGTGAAATATAATTTATGTTTTGTTTAAATAAATGTGTCGACCTGTAAGATATGTACAACACTAATCCAATAATAGTCAGGGCGATGGAAATGAAATGTGATACTTACTAGTATTACACTGCGCTTTTGCATACAGCAGTACTATTCAATTGTTTGTGAGTATCGGTTTACGGGGAAAATGTGGGCTATTGTTAGCATATTCGGAGCGGTAGGCTCTTTGAAGCCGAACGGCGCAAACGCATACTTATCTTAGAACATTACGCTTGCGTGCATATTCCATCACCTACAACGACCTTTCTCGTTATATTGCCATCATTCAGTTTTAAATACAGTATGGTCGAATTTTCCAGACTAACACTGTGCGTGTACCAGTATATTTAAATTCAACTGTGTAATGGTTTTCTTTTTAAATGAACTCTCACTCATTTGAGACATAGTATCATTGCACCGGGGATTTATATTCTAGAATATGAACTGAATGTACCATTGTCATACACGTGTGCATTCTCTTTGATACGTAAGTATCACTTTTTTTTTTAAATAAAACATCCTGCTCTGCAAAAATATCAACTGCTTACAATTCCCGTATAACACATCTAACGTGCTTATCACACAAACACAATTAGCATGAGAGTCACGTGCACGTCGGTTTCCATCGCAGTTACATGCTTACACATTGTCAATTTTATGATACTGCGTCACAGTTGATCTAGCGTAAAAACAGATGAAACCCGTCGCACTGTCGGTCAGGTCGGAAGATTTTTGATCGACGCAACCAAATCCCAGTTATTGTTAAACTAGTATTGCCATCACCACAATATTTTGTATTTTACAATGGTCATTTTTTATAATTTTAGCAATGTCGGTGCCTGCTGAACACGTCTGGAAACACTGACATTAAGAATGACCGCAGCCAAAGGTCTACACATTTAGATTAGATTTGACAACTGGGGAGTGCGTGTCAGTGAATCTCTACTACGAATCAAACATGCAAGTCATTACACTCATGTCTATACTTATACATATATACTTATATGACGGTACGTGGGGTCAGAGATACGGATGCCACTCAGCCTAAAGTGCACGATTGAGGGTTCCGTTGTTGTTAGGAACCGGTAAGTTACGAAGTCGACAACATGAACTTGTAACACTTCCTGTAATCGAGGTCATCTGATGTGAAATATAACTAATCGACAAGCACTTTATTTGTCGACAAGCCAAGACCAGCAGATATATTAAACTGTGTCAGTCACTATATAAATATGTTGGTCCCGGCAATGGTTTAACCTTTATAGTAGAGATGCAGGTTCGTGGGCACTTGGGAGTGATTTTTTTTTTTTTTTTTTTTTTGCTTTTTATCGATCAAAGTCAACTTCCTTCCTGTCAGAAAAGCACATCCATTTAATTAATTAACTACCAAAATGCCGCCTTGGTATGACATTATACTCCCCAAAGTTACTAACAATATTCCCATCCAAGGGCATGCACATGCACGGACGCAAGATTCCCTGTTAACAGGCGAACCTTAACAGACTGCCTTTGCATTCACGTCATTGCGGTGTTGCATTTGGGGAAATAGATATATGAGTAATGACATATCAACGCATGCTGATTCGTGTGTCACAGATGAAACCACAATTCAGCCAGGCCGTTGCGTCACCTCTGTATGTAAAAAAGTGATGAAATTCATTGAACTTGATGAATTTCAAGGATTGACATAAATAACTGAAAATAAACAGGATTTACATATACATTGACACAACATTCATCATACAAATTACATCTCTCTTGGTATCATCGTATTGTGGGGATGAAAACACTCACCGTTACGTTTTTTCAAAGAGAAAAAGTCTCCTTCGATGGTCACATATTGCCGGTATGTGGGTAAGGGGTGAATTTCAGAAATGTGACCGTACGGAGAACGATTTAATTTCGATATATCCGTTGATATGTAAAATTCGAATAAGAATACATCTCATTGTTTTCCTTTCAAGTTCGTGAAATTAAAACCTAATGAAATCACTCAAAACATCAAATTAGTGAAATTAAATGCCAGTAAAAATAAATGGTTTTACAGTAAACAAAATATAATTTTAGGGAAATTCACAATATTAATTTATCTACTAGTTGCTGTTATGTTTATTCAAGTATCTACAGCAGACAATTTTTTTTAGATATGTCATGAATTGTGTTACGATATGTCAACATAGGGTTTTTTGAAAATACCCTTTAAATAAAAGCAAAACAAACAGTCATATTTAACAATTAGAAGGACATTTGAACCGATGTTACAGAGTTCAGACCATTATACACAAATTATATATCATGTGTCAACGTTCCCCTGTAACTTACATGAATCATTTAATGCGCAATAATACGTGATTAATGTGTATTAATAGATTTCACGCTACCCGCAAAATTGCCCGTCTGTATAATGTATGGTGGGAACACGCGAGAGTGACGTGTTTCTGAATGAGTATATATAGGGAGAGAATCGCACAGTATTTCATTCACTTGTTCAATTCGTTGTTCATAGAGAACCATGACATCGCCGGCAACATTAGACTGTAACGATGACACCGCTGCATTTGGTTTGGACACCTATCTTAAACATTATTACCCAGATTTAGACAAATCCTCTGACGAGTCTCTGGTCAATATATTTCTACTTGACAGTCTACATGACATTTTCAATTCTGGTAAGTGTTATGTGTATTCCATGCAAAATATTTAATACATAATGTATTCAACATTTAGCTAACATGTCATATTTACATGTGCAAATAACACAATGTTTTTTTTTATTCTTACTAGTGGGAGTATCTGGCAATCGGCTCATTGACATTGGTGCTGGGCCATGCGTTTATCAATTCATCTCGGCATGTACAAAGTTCAATGAAATTGTTGCGACTGATATAGATAAAGATAACCAAGACGCTATACAACGCTGGGTGAATGAAGATCCTGGTGCCTTTGAATGGAAATCATTCGTGAAATATGTGTGTGAACTAGAAGGACATCAGTAAGTAGAACATATTTTATTTTATAACAGATATTCATACAAATGTCAAGAATTAGTTTTTGCGTATCCGTTGACCGACTTATTTAGCTGATTACTAGTGAATGGCTGTGTTATATCTGTCATCATTTAAGCTCATGCGAGGTCCTGGACGGAACTTAACTTGATTTGGAACTAATATAACCGTTGTCATCCGGACCGCTATTTCTGACAGTTGGTATTTGCAGTTAGTAATATAGTGAACGATTAATCAAAAGATATGACGTGTTCAGTACTTAGTTTGATTGGCTGTGTAAGTTGAATGTGTGAAGGCCACGCCTTAGAGTCTTTTAACTGTTTTGTAATTGGTTAAGTTTTGACTTGTAATAAAAGGTCTGAGCCCTTGGTCAAAGAGAGAGAGAGAGAGAGAATTCCACGAGGCGAGAGAGTCTTGGTCAGTGCTGGGCAGAGACCCCGACGAGGCAGTTCGCCTCGAGGCGTTCTCGATGTGGCTTCTTAAGGTTAGCTATTGAAACGTATTTCGTTGTGTGCGTCTATTTGACTGTAAAGTTTAAGTGACTTTCCCGGTCCGGTACCTCAAGCAGACGTGATATAGAGACAGACGTGTATTCCCCCCCCCCTGACACGTGTTGGAGAACCCCAGAGGAGAAGAATTTCCCCCATCATAAAAAAATCCAGTAGTGATAACTCTTCAGATTGTAGATTGTTGATTATTAGCCCAACAACAATTCTGTGTCAAGATTGCATTATATTGTGAGTGGGTTCTGAAAGTTTATGTCACTTATCTAAGTTTTTTTTTCCATTCAAACAGAAATACAGCGGACCGAGAAAAGCAAATGCGTAAAACAATACAAAACGTCACGTATTGTGACTTTTCCAAAAAATATCCAGTTGGTTCGAGTGATTCGCCGCTCTACGACTGTGTGCTGACAGGTTTTTGCATTGAATGCATCATCAACAGCCAACAACAATGGGTACAATACTTGAAGAATGCGTCGAACCTACTCAAGAGTGGTGGGTGGTTTGTACAACTTTGCATGCCAGCTGATTTTTACATGATTGGAGATACCCGGATGTCATGTTTCAAGGTTGATGAAGAGTTTGTACTAAAGGCATTAAAGGAGGCTGGCTTCATGGTTGTGAAAAGTTATCTCACGAAACACACTTCTACGCGTAGCTATATGAACTATGAATTCACAATGGTGGTTTTAGCAAGAAAACTATAATAGCAATTTCATTTACCATATTGCAGTTTCAAATATTTACTGTATCAATGAACCAGGAAAAGTTGCACTACGTGTTTTATTGCATGTACGTTCAAAAACAACAACATAATGTATCATTGTTTGAAGTAAGCAAAAGCCAATTAAATTGTAAACCTGTATGAATAATCGCCAAACTCATTTCATCAGGACTATATCGTAGTCTTGTGGTATATTTAAAGTGTAGGTTTATATTGTTAATTTGATGGACTATATTTATTAGAAATTCAACTGTCACTATTTAAGAATCAATTACATTGCCCTTCTTGGTTGTTATTGTTTATCAATTATATTAGTTTACATTTATTGATACCCGTTTATAACTTAATGATTTATTATTCAATGTTATATAATCAAATGTATTCTGAACATCGGTTTAGCTCAGCAAACACAATTACTGTAGCATGCTGGATGGGTCCAGAATGAGCCATTTATTGTCTTCAATTACTGAGGATTCTGCATTCCTGGTATGATAAGTATGTTTGTTTTTTTTTGTTTTTTTTTGTTTTTTGTTTGTTTTTGCATTGTTATAGTATATGGCTGTAATGAGTGTACATAGACATGTATCAATGTAAATACAATTACATTACAAGTGAAATGCCGTCAACAATTTGTATTATTCGAATCTGAGTTGTACAATCTCCAGTTCCAAGCAACGTATTCTCGGGGCGGGCTAGGTCACAGAACGTTTTTTAGACGCCCACCACTCTACCATGTATCTCTATACGCCCTGGGCGAGCTGCTGTGGGACGCCGCTCTAAGAGCCGGTGAAGCCAGCTAAAGTCGGGAAAACAGCACAAACAAAATTTTGAGATAATCAAGAAAAACTAAGTTTATATATTGTACGATATTCGGGTGAGTTTCAACAAATGTCCCAAAGGGCAATTTTTTTAAGTTTTCGGACGTTTTTTTCCGTCGGTGGTGCTGCCAGGCGGTGAAAATACCCGGACATTCGTTCCCAAAAATATGTAAATTTTGATAAAAGGCAGGTCCAGTCAGGGCAACCCCTGATAAATAATGTGATGGTTGACATAGTATGTGCAGAATAATGAGATAACAAAAAAAATACGTTGCGTCACACACGTGTACGATAGTCAGTTTAGTGCTTTAGTTTACTGCTTTAAGAACAGCAGTACTATTGTCGCGGACTTCTATGTGAAAAGAGGCTGACCGAGATGTCGAAAATGCTTTTGTAACGGTTATAATTTCCCTAATATATTATGCTTGTGTTTTTACACCACCTTGCCCGGCCTTTCACTCATTATATATACGTCATTGTGAATCCACCAGCATATTTATATTTATTTATTTAATCTTTAGTGTTTTTGGATGAACTCTAACGCATTTAATGGGGTGACCTAAAAACAATAACAACAAATATTCAGTATTATCATACCAGCACGTGGGTTATCCGATGATTATTTTTATAGAAGTGAAAATATCATGAGTTATGTCACTCTATGTCCAGTACTAGGTTGAGCGAAAACATCAAAGCAGTTGAAAAATTCTAAATCTATTGAAAATAGACTGAACGTGATTTATGGTTTTACCATGATCGTTCAGAAGAGTAATTTTAAAAAGAAGCAAAAAGTAAAAATCCCGGGTGTAAAATATAGTATAATTGATGCTAATCTTCGCCCATAAGCCACAGATGATTTGACAGCACGGCGCCCTCTGTGTCGGATATATCGACCCTAAAATCAACCGAATTTACGATTTATGTACCACCGGTATGTACAAATTATGAAAACAGGTATTACCGTATTTTCATTTCCAAAACCATATTATGTCAAATTAAATAACAATACGTCAGACCCACATTTACACCGTGACGTATCAAAACTAGGACGAAGCTGGCGAATGATAATTTGGGTTGAAACACATTCTCTCTACTAGTACAGACTATAGTCTAAAGAAGGTATTAGTTTAAACTAGACTTTGCCAACGAGTTTTATTTTCAATAATGTTTTCTGGAAAATGTTCACAGACTAACGATCTAATGTACGAACATATCAAATTAATTGTGTCAAGCACATCAATAAGCTATGGGGTCATTTTAAAACTTCCCTCAAATTTTCATAAAAATGCACAGCAGTTGTTTGAATGACTTGAAGCCTACTTTGTCTAATCGGGTACCGCCGCGTTTCTGTTGAGTATTGTTTCATGTTTTCGTTTTCTTTTAATCAATTACTCACTGAACATAACATTTTACCTCGGGTTTAAAATTGTTGTCAGGTTTAATATGCTTTGTAAGGTTAAGTGTTTACCACTCAAACTATGTACTACTTTCTTACGATTGACAAGTATTATTTGTGGCTTATTCCGTGGACAATAACAGTGAAAAATTAATGTTATTTGATTCAACCGAAAAACAATATTTAATTCACAAATTCAATTTTCTACTGCAAATTACATCGCTATTTCTAACTCAGCAGCGGCATATGATACCAAATAGCTGTGTTTTGGTCCACAATTAAAGGCGGTACATTTAATGTCAACATTGCTTTAGATTTCAAAACGTGTTAGCGAAATAAATCGATATAAGTAATGGTGCGTTAGACTTTTCCGATCATTCTGTTGTCCACATCAACTTCGCCAATGGTGGTAGTAACAACAACAGCCCTGTGTGATGCTTTACGCGTCTATGCGGCTGAATTTTTGGGCGCAGTGGCAAGCACTTCGCAAAAACTGTAAATATACCGACATGATGGATTATTGGCAAGAAAATTAAATTATTAACACAACAATACTTTGCATTCACCCAAGATGAATACGAAACAGAAAAACAGATTTTTGAAATTGAAACCAGACCAAACTTGCAGCGTCCCGTATGTACACATTCATGACAATACTAATCTTCATCTTGATAACTTGACTTTGCCAAACTGAATTAACTAACTCGTCCTTGGCCATTGTTGTGGATATTTTTTTAATACACTTTCTGCTATTGGTTTTGGTGACCGTTGCGATTCATACACTTGCTTCATATATACCAATGCCCATTTCCTGGTCCGCGTTAATTGCGCCCTCACTACACCCAGTACAGTAGCCCGGGCAGGAGGCAAGCTTGTTCAATGTCCACTGCCCTCTACGTCATAGCTATTCGAGCAAAACTTCATAATATCAGGAATGATGAAAATACCTCAGACCTAACAATTCGCTGGTTCCCGGCGTCCTTTGCGAATGGCAGGTAGGACGCAGGTAACTAGTAATCGCCATATTGTTCCATTTGAGCGGGTTTTGTCGGCCGGAAGGAACGCGACTGGGTGACGTAATTTGAAAACATTCCAAGTTCCGTTTTGCGTAAACGTGTCTGTAATGCTACAATAAAGCCATGCTCATACATACTGCCTGCTTAGATTCACTCACTGCTTACAATGACGACGTAGCATTTTTAATTACTCGCAAGAAGGGGTTCAGTTCCCTTGCTCACTGGCTACATTTTTATGAGCAAACACCAAAATCAATCTTCAAAAATCGGAAGGATTATGGGTAGGTCGTACCCTTCCCTTAATATCAAATGCAACAGTATGGGGTCAAGGGTCAAACATTTGGGTGATTATCTTGAGAATTACATAACTTATACTGAACTTTTGACAAAAGTGAGTAACAAGATCAACTTATGGAATCACTTTGTTTACAACATGTTTATAGACGGCGCACTTCTATTATTAACAGCCTGATCTCATTGCAGTTAGTGTCCCGCTTTAATAGCCTTGTACCGCCAACATACGTAGTTTTGAAGGGGAAGAAAATGTTTTAATTCTATTGGCAAAGACGGCATTGGATATATACCAAAACACTGTACCTTGAAAAGTGATGGACACAATAATATTAGTTGGGTCGTAGTTCGTTTTTTTTCTTGGTTGAATAATAAAAATAAATTCGACAAAACATCTGTAATTATGAACCAAACAAAAATAGAGATAGCAAAAATGTATGCTTCATTAAAACTTCCATTGAATATTAGTATGCAATGATTTCAATCGCTTAGTTGCGTGAGTACAAAAAATGACCGATTTGAACAGAAACAACGACGATCGAATGGTCAAAACACACAGATTCAGTTTCCGGTTAGATGTAAAACTAGGCGCCTGTGCGTTTGGCACTAGAATGACATTACGAAACACACGAAGAAGGTAAATGTGAGTGCGTTCGGGAATCTTCAGGTTAACGTGTGTCAACAAACTACCAGCAAGATCTGCCGAAATAATCTACGGCATGCTTCAAAATATATAGAAAACTGTATTTTGTAGGTTCAAAAATCGATACTCATATGCCCATTGTTATTCCGCGATCGTATTTTATTTTATTTCACTTCACCAGTAACAACAACAATCACAGTACAATACAGTGCAATACAGAGTTTTATTAATATGAAGTTAATCGTTATTCATCTACCCTGTCACTAAAGTTAGTATATATGATATTGACATACTAAATAAACGCGAAATATCAGTGAAGAAAACTTATTAGACATTCGTGTTTAAAATCCAAGCAAATAATGACAATTGTAAACGCCGGTCACACCAATGATGCGGCACAGCGATTTGATTCGTATCACAATCGATTGGAATACATAAACTTTCAAGAAATTTAACTCGAACCCAAATAAGCAAGTGGTAAGTTTCCCACACTGTTCAACACTTGTAGCTTGGTGGATTGAATACGTTATTGACTTTAAATATACTACAATTCAACAATATTGACCACCATGAGATGCGTCTATTGACTATTGTATAACATTGACCAAATATTACTTTCACAACACAAAACACAGTAAACAAAATAATGAAAGAACGAAGACTACTGTACTACTCAATCAACTAATATGATGTAGGTGAATGGCTATTATGATATCATCACTAAATCTTTCGAGCTATCATCACCATTGTGAATTCATAGTTCATATAGTTACACGTAGTAGTGTGTTTAGTGTGATACGTTTTCTCAACGACGAGTCCGGCATCCTTTAATGACTTTAGCAGAAATTTCTCATCAACCTTGAAACAGTGCAACCGCTTGTCTCCAACCCCGTAATAATCAGCTGGCATGGAAATTTGTACAAACCATCCACCACTGTTTAGAAGATTTGACGCATTCTTCACGTATTGTGCCCATTGTTGTCGGCTATTGGCAACGGCTTCGATGCAAAAGCCTGTCAGCACACAGTCGTAGCGTGGCGAATCACTCGTACCAACTGGATACTGTTTAGTTATGTCGCAATAAGCGACATCCGTTATTGCTTTACGCAATTTATTTTCTCGATCCACTATATTTCTGTTATAAATAGAAAAAAATTACCTTAGATAAGTGACCAATCTCACGTAATATATATACCTGTAATCTTGGCAGATAAGGCTGGTTGTCATGTAATGAAAAGTACAATCTGAAGTGCTACTGTAATCGGTTCATATGCGTGTATATTATAAAATAAAATATGTTCTACTTACTGATGTCCTTCTAGTTCACACACATATTTCATGTATGATTTCCATTCAAAGGCACCAGCATCTTCATTCACCCAGCGTTGTATAGCGTCTTGGTTTTCTTTATCAATATCAGTCGCAATAATTTTATTGAACTTTGTACATGCTGAGATGAATTGATAAACGCATGGCCCAGCACCAATGTCAATCAGACGATTACCAGATATCCCCTCTAGTAAAAATGTAAAAAAATCAGTTGATTAGATTTCAGAGGTGATTATCTGTATGTCCAAAGCCCATGTGAATATCCTAATATGAATTTACTATTGAATAGAACATACAATAAATATAATTCATGGCATACACGAAGCCACCAAGTTTAATTACACTTACAAGAACTGAAAATGTCGTGCAGACTGTCCAGTAAAAATCTATTGACCGGTGCCTTTCCAGTGGATTTGTCTAAATCAGGGTAATATTCTTTAAGATAGGTGTCCAAGCAAAATGCCTTGGCGCTCTCGTAACAGTCTAATGTTGCCGGTGCTGACATGGTTCTTTGTGAACAAGGAAGCGAACAAGTGAGTAAAATGCTGTATGAATCCTAATATATACTCACTCACGCAAAAAGACGTGATTTCCACCAGCATGCATTGTACAATCAACTTAATTTGTGTAAAGGAACAATTAATATTCATGATTTGTGTCATTAATTGAGCCCGTATTAATAAAATTAAAATAAAACAATTAATACACAAACCCTCATAAAATTAAATTAATTTAATTCATTTTCGTTTGATCTGTCCACGCTTGGAACACTCCACTGAATAGTAAACGTCTTTCTAACATGATAGTTATTTGGTATGAGAGTGTTTTTACTACACGGATACTTCAAATTATTGGGGTAAATTCATTTTATTTTCATTTTTAATATCACTACCTTTGCGGAATTTTGCGTTTAATAATAACAAAGACTCAAAGTTGATGAACAATCTCAGTTTTGAATTATTTTATTGTATTTATCATAATACATGTATAAATATTTAATATAGTCACGTGAGTGTTGCATAGCAACCATTTATCATAAGAATTCAATAAAACATATTTATAATACCAGATATCTTCATAGTTAAAGTCGACATTGAATGACAAGTCGTTATTAACTATTCTATCACTCATTCTAGAATCATCTAGCAGCCTACAATTGATTATGTTTGCTAAGCTAAATTAGTATCGGAAAATTTAGCATAAATATCATATTTTGGCGTTATTAATATTATTCAATGCTAGATTATATCACTGTCTAACCAATGACAATTAGAATCAGTGTTATCCTGGTCACAAACATCGCTACTCAAGTATACATAACCACAGGGACTCACAGGGAAGATTTATCTAACTATTTATGCCCGACATTGCATATGTTATCGTATCTTGTTTGTCCAATTGTTATTAAGTCTTGAAACAGGTTTAATGGTATTGCACTGAATGTGTGTGTGGAATACAGTTACGTATGAACACTTTTGTGTTGTTTGACCACATTGTTATTTCGTTACTCCAAGAAATCATATTCAGAATCCTCCCATCTTTTTCTGTGACCGGTCGCCTGATTTGTTGGGTGACCCACGCTACCCCGTTGGCGATTACACGTTGTAGAACCATATTTAAAGTTCAAAATATATTTCAACAGTTTTTAAGTTTATTGAACATCACCCCGATTCAGAGTTATGTCACAATTTCCATTACCCGCATATTACTGAGTGGTGATGATTACATTGTTATGGCAATGATACTAGTGTATCTAATTAATTAAAATTTGAAACAGTTCAAAAAGTGTGGCTCTTCGGCCACGGGATTGAGCAATGGCGTCATTGGGAACGCAATTTGCATGGCCAGCCCAGTTGTTTACTTGGTACACGGCTGTTATTATTTCAACCGTTGTTGCTGACACCTTTCGCTACACTATTATATATATTGAAAGGACGTAGTGACACGCTTTGTTCAACCGTGCAAGTACGTACGTCACTAAACCCATGGAACTATTATAGTTCCATGCTAAACCTTAGTTTTTATTTAATGCCGTTTAGTATCACGGTTTCTAACTTAGTACTTGGACCTCTAATAATGCAATGACAAATGTAAGGGGTAAAAATGACTTCACAAACATTACAAAATCGAGACTGTGTGTTTGTTTGTTGACTGGTGACAGATATATTCAGCGCAAGTAGCAACTTATTGAACTGATTATGTTGTGGTCAAACAAAACTAAGTGATATAATAGTGTGTTGCCAGACATGTAACCGTTTGTATCCCTAACTGCCAGTCGTGCCTCATACGGGTCGTCACTGATAAATTGTACAGCAGTTTATTCGTGATTTATGTACATTTTACATTGTGGTCATGGAGCTGATATTTTCAGTCCCCACTTAGTGGTCGGGCAGATAGTTTAGTACATCTCTCACATCAGCTACGTTTACGTTACGGGATCTCGCATGTGCTAAAATTTGTAATCTTTTATGTTTGGAAAACGATTACATCAGTTGCGTTCACGTTAGTCGGGACCCACTTGGAACCCACTTGGCTCGTGTCTGTTCGCCCTTAATTGCTCATAAAAGTTCAACACCGAGGGCGTGATTTCGGTTCGTGCCGTGAGTTCTGACATCAAATCTCGGCACGTATCGAGTTTCGGTCTCAGCTGTCTATTAGGACCTTGATCGATTTTTATTGGCACTTGGAGACCCGGTTCCGACCATTCACACGCACGTTTCGGCACGTGCCGACTCCGGTCTCATCGACACAGGCCGAGATTTGCAAACCTCTATTTTATACAGCCGAAACCGCTGTTAAAGGATGAATGATTTAATATCTTGAATATCTAAAAAAAATATGATATATGACATTTAAATTTGAAATACTCATCCATCCCATGACATGTTTGCAATCATGTCAAAAACAGCCATGCCACGAGTGTGTTATATATCAATATATTCGTTATTTTTCAAATATGTCACGAACTTTGTTGCAAAGTGCCATCATAGGGGTTGATGAAGACTTGAATACGGGCCGATAATAGCAAAACAAAAGTTTGTAGTAAACAATTAGAAGAACGTCTGAACCGATGTTACAGAGTTCGTGAACAGATAACACCAGCATTCATCATGTCAATGATTCCGCAGCGATGTCATTGTGACATGTGTAAACGATCCCCTATAACTTGCATGGATCAATTCACTGCTTAGTAATACGTGATTAATGGGTATTGATTGATTTCACGCTACCCGTGAACAAGTGAGAGTGACGTCTTTCTGTGTGGGTATATATTAAGAGAGAATCACACAGCATTTCATTCACTTGTTCAATTCGTTGTTCACAAAGAACCATGTCATCACCGGCAACATTAGACTGTAACGATGACACCACTGCATTTGGCTTGGACACCTATCTTAAACATTATTACCCAGATTTAGACAAATCTACTAACGAGTCTCTGGTCAATATATTTTTACTGGAAAGTCTGCACGACATTTTCAATTCTGGTAAGTATAATTTAATAGTACTGTATATAGACGAAGTAGCTTCGAGTATATATATTCAGTGTATGATGTATTCAACTAGCATGCCGGATTTACAGACATCGTGACTTTTACAACTACATCAATTTATTTTGAAGTATAATTATGTAAACCTTTTTTTTACGTACTTACTAGTGGGAGTATCTGGTAATCGTCTCATTGACATTGGTGCTGGGCCATGCGTTTATCAATTCATCTCGGCATGTACAAAGTTTAATGAAATTGTTGCGACTGATATAAGCAAAGAAAACCAAGACGCTATACAACGCTGGGTGAATGAAGATCATGGTGCCTTTGAATGGAAATCGTTCGTGAAATATGTGTGTGAACTAGAAGGACATCAGTAAGTAGAACATATTTTATTTTATAACATACATTCATACAAAACGATTATAGTAATGAAACTTCAGAGTTTAGTTTTGATAATTAGACAAATCAGAGTTCTGTGTCCAGATTGAATGTTCATTATGAGTAGGTTCTGAAAGTTTAGGTCACTTATCTAAGTTTTTTTTTTCCAATTCAAACAGAAATACAGCGGACCGAGAAAAGCAAATGCGTAAAGCAATACAAAACGTCACGTATTGTGACTTTTCTAAAAATTATCCTGTTGGTTCGAGTGATTCGCCGCTCTACGACTGTGTGCTGACAGGTTTTTGCATTGAATGCATCGTCAACAGCCAACAACAATGGGTACAATACTTGAAGAATGCGTCAAACCTACTCAAGAGTGGTGGTTGGTTTGTACAACTTTGCATGCCAGCTGATTTTTACATGATTGGAGATACCCGGATGTCATGTTTCAAGGTTGATGAAGAGTTTGTACTAAAGGCATTAAAGGAGGCTGGCTTCATGGTTGTGAAAAGTTATCTCACAAAACACACTTCTACGCGTAGCTATATGAACTATGAATTCACAATGGTGGTTTTAGCCAGAAAACTATAATAGCTATTTATTTACCTTATTACAGTTTCAAATATTTACTGTATTGAGGAAACAGGAAATGTTGCAGTATGTGTTTTATTAAGTACAAAAACAAAATAATGTAGATCGTTGTTTGAAGTAATCAAGAGTCGATTCAGTTGTAAATCCTGTTTGAACAATCATCAAACTCATTTCATGATGGCCGGTGACCCATGTTGTTAATTTGATGGGCTATATTTATTGTAATTTCAATCAATTATATTACCTTTCATGGTTGTTGTTGTTTAACAGTTATATCAGTTTAGATTTATTGATACCAGTCTAGTATCACTTAATGATTTATTATTGAATGTCATCACATTTATTCTGAACATCGGTTTAGATTAGCAAACACAATTACTGTAGCATGCTGGGTAGTTTCAGAATGAGCGAGTGAGTGAGACAGTGTATCAGTTAGTAAATAGTCATTGCCACTGACTGACGTCTTCAGTTACGGAGGATTCTGAATTGTTAGTATCATAAATAGTTTTTTTTTTGCAATGTTACAGTATATGATTGCTATGAATGCACATAATGACTCACATGTTTAGTCATAAATTAAAGGTAAATATAATGAAATATTTCATAATTTAAGTTATGAATCTTAGTCTTTATTTTATTTGTCCATATTGATTTTAATTAAAATTCCGCGCAAGTTGATATCAAGCATATTTTTTTTTTTTGAATCTGTGTACTATCAACTTACTATAGAACACGTCAAAATAGCTGCATGCAATTTTAGCAGATTCGACTCTTGGCATGAATTAACATAAATTTTAATTTAGCTAAAGTGTTCACTATCTCCCTGTGAGATTATACTTCATACTGTTAAATTATCTGCATCTTGAATAGACCATTTTCCGTTCACTGCGAGAATCACGCGTTATGCGTGAAATCGAACGAAAAAACAGGACAAACAAAGGTCATAGCGTCGTAGTGGCGTCAAACATCGCGTGGGATTCGACAAACGCGAAGTATTTTGGGGGACATTTCCATGCTTAATAATGTGCTGTCCACATTT